TTGATGTGTGTGTGTGAACATATATATACATTAATACACATGTATATGTATACATATGCACATTTCCTCTTTAAATTTAATGATGAAATAACACATCACTCATATTCAAGGTAAAAGAAAATAGAAGGACATATGGGACTAGCAGTTCTTTTCATTATCATAATATATCAATATCCATTAGGGTAACCCTGCCAACAGAATGAAACAAATGCGAAAGTAAAAGAATTAAAATTTTGGTAATTTTTGTTTATTTGCTTGCATTCAATGTCAAAATGGAGTGCAGTATAATGAGAAAGAAAGTAATTTTAATGTAAGGAAGCTATGGATTCGAGTCTCTGCTTAACATTTCTTTACTAAATATTTTATGCTGAGTCATTCACAATTGACTAACATTCTAACTTTACTTCCTCCCATATAGTTTATTTGTACACTCTCCATGATTTCTTAGAAGTATTTAGTTTAAATATATAATAATTTTTAATGTGCTATTATACATCTTACATCATTTGTATTTCTTGGAAAAATTTTCAAGTGGTATGAGATTTTTGTTCTTGCCTCTACATATATATGCCTCAACATATATCACAGGGAGTCTCTCATGATTTGCTCTTTGCTCATATGTTGACTCTCTCTCTTCCTCTCACTGTATTTCTCCACATGCTTTTTTTTTTTGCCTAAGGTCACTTTAATACTGTTTACCAGTGAGCTTAATTCTCAGGCTTTTCTTTATTTGTATATTTTTAAGATAGTGTTTTGTTTAGTTGCTGAGAGTTTTGCAAAGTTGCCGAGACTGCTTTTGTACTTTTGATCCTCCTGCCTCAGTCTCCTGAGTTGCTGGGATTACAGTTGTGCACCACTGCACATATATCACGTGATGTCTTACACTTTCTTCACTTATACACTTATTTTTTATACATAAGTGCTGCAAAATGCAAAGGTTTAAAAATCCACTTTTCATCTTCTGTGGAAGAAAGCTAATTAACAAAACAATAAAAGAGAAACTAAATAAGAAAAATAGTGTGAATGAATAGAATGAATGTTTGGCATTTTGAATCTGTTTCAATTTCTGCCCTATTTAGGGAGCTCTATCAGATAATCCAATCCCTCCCTTGCTTCTGAGAACCCCTTGAAGGGCTCCATGTGCTTTTGATGCCTTGACTTTCTGCTTCTCCAAGATCCAGTCATAAATTCTACTTTGATTAAAATACTCACTCTGTTCTATCTCCCAGAAACTGTGATTGATTCAAGCAAGTCATATTAGCAAGTTTTCTTAGGATTCCATATATTTTCACCAAATATAACTATAGTCTAGTACTTTTTCAAAGTCTATTTATTGATTGAAGCATAGGAGCCTTGGAATTGCTGCTGAAAGTATTCAGATAACACACACAGGTATCCATATAGGGTTAATAAGACATGAACAAATATAGGGGAAGAGAAAGAACTATGAGTTTGATATTGTGATTGAACAACTACACCAAACACTACTCTTTGATTATTCGGTTAGTCAGCCATCTGATACTATGTGCACATGGGTGTGTGTGCACACTCACACACATATAAGCTTAAGTTGATTTTCTTTGTGATTAATAAATGGAAGCCTCCTCTAGAGGTGTGACATGTGTGCTGAATCATTAGAATGAGTCAAGTTTATAAAGAACTGAGAACTTATACACAAATTCTAGAAGCTTCAGAGTCTTGGCTTTAAAAAGGAAATGAACAAGGATGTCAATGTGACTAGATTATGCTGACCCAGACTGGCAATAATAAGTGAAGTTGGAAAACTAGGCAGAAAGAGGTTAGTGGGCCTAATTGATCATGGAAAGAAGTATGGATTGTATTTTAAAAGCAATGAAACTCTTTGAAAGGTATAAGCAGGGATATAAAAAGATCTGGTTTTCACTTTTAAGAGTGCTTGTAAAAGGTGGTGTGGGTAAGAGAAGGACAAAGAAGAAGGAAGAAAATTGTATTGTCTAGTGGAAGCAGATTTTGGGATTGGACTAGGTGAACATTTGCAAAAAAGATGTTAAGTATCCCTGAGCTGCTTTTATAGGAACTACCTCACCAGTGTTACTCCTATTTATCTTTTCAGCATTTGCATTCAGATGTTGCTGAGGAGATGATTAAATTATCAAACAAGAATAGATTTGAGGATAGTGTCAGCCCTCTTTGAAACCTTACAATCTTAGAATGTACTGTCTTTTGTTGTTGTTGTTGTTGTTATAGTTGTTTTTGTCAAAATGAAATTCTTTATAATGAGAATTGCAGAGGAGATCAGTAAGTCTACAGGTAAGATGATTATTTCACACTAATAAGGTCCCTAATATGTTAACAGGAAGAATATGTAGTCTTTGGAGAAATTCATAAGATTTTTATTTGTCATAAGCAGTGACATTATTGAATTAAGCTCGTTGAAGGTAAAAGTAAGTGATTTTCAAAACCACAATTTTATTTTGAAGCATCCACATTTTCTTCATTTCCAAGAGGCCAACTGGTGACTATTGAGTCAAGACAGAAAGACAGCCCAGTGTCACTTAAGTGGTATCTGAGATATCAACCAATAAATCATAAATAGAGACTAAGATTAACTGAGAGAATGATTAATAAAATAAGTCTGGCAATTTAGGAAGACTTTGTCTCCAAATTTAAAAAAGAACAATAAAATGGCTGGGCATGTAGCTCATACTAGGCACTTGCCTAGTATGCAGCACTGGAAAGCCCTTGAGTTCAATCCCAAGTACTGAAGGGGAAAAAAAAAAAGGAAAGAAAAAAGAAACATGGTGTTGCAGAAGAAAGAAAGAGAATGTTTTAAAAATTAAAGTGTAAGATAAAAGTGAGTATATATTCTAAAAGGGGCGAACAAAATTAGAAAAGAATTGGTGTAGGATTTGTCAAAAAGGAGAAAAAGACCATTAGGATACAATATCAATAAAATGATGGAGCAAAAGGGAGGCAAACATTAAGGAGGGAAGAACTAATGGAAAGTACAGTAGTTTTACTGGAAGAAAATTTAAACCTTTCTATGTGACCAGGGTTAAAAATGTGTTTGTTTACATGAAATGCTACCACAGTATTATTTAAGCTTTGACTGTCTAACCCATTCCAAATTAATGTGCTATCCTCATTTTTTATTCACTTTCAAATGCAATTCATCATGTTCAAATGCATTGTAAAAATTGTAAACATGTGTGACACTTCTCACTCAAGGAATTGATGAAGAAACTAAATTTCAGGAAAATCTCTCATAAAAGTTCTGCAAAGCAGGAGCTGGGTGTGAGTGGAAAATGCATAAATCATTGTAAAACAGGATCTCAATTTAGCAAGGGATGGAACCAAAGATATTTTTTCATTGACTTGCATCCCCAGATCTTTAATTTTATTTATTTATTTATTTATTTAGAGATGGGTCTTGCTAAAGTGCTTAGGCCAGCCTTGAACTTATGATCTTCCTGCTTCAGGCTCCCAAGTGGCTAGTATTTTAGGGGAGTGCCACCACTCCATGCTTAGACATATTCTTAAAAGTTACATATAAAATACCCATACATAGGGATAATAATGTCCTTCTGATTCCACCATCTTCCCCCCACACTCACCCCCATCTCATCCCCTCCCTCCCCTGTGCTCAGACCAAAGTTCCTCCATTCTTCCCTTGCCCCCCAGTGCCTCCCCTCTGATTATGGATCAGCATCCACCCATCAGAGGAAACATTTGACCTTTGGTTATTTGGAATTGGCTTACTTTGCTTAACATGATATTCTCCAACTCCATCCATTTACCTGTAAATGCCATAATTTCATCTTCTTTAAGGCTGAGTAATATTTAAATGTGTATATATATCACAATTTCTATATCCATTCATCTACTGAAGGGCATCTAAGCTGTTTCCGCAGTTTAGCTATTGTGAATTGAGCTGCTCTAAATATTGAGGTAGCTGTACCCTTATAGTGTTCTGAATTTAAGTCCTTTGGGTATAGACCGAGTAGTGGGATAGTTGAGTCAAATGGTGGCTCCATTCCAAGTTTTCTAAGGAATATCCATTCTACTTTCCCACCAGCAATGAATCAGTGTGCCTTTTCCCCCACATATTCCTCATCATTTATTGTTGCTTGAATTCTTGATAATTACCATTCGGACAGGAGTGAGATGAAATCTGAGTTTTGATTTGCATTTCTTTAATTGCTAGAGATGTTAAACACTTCTTTCATTAATTTGTTGATAGATTGAATATCTTCTTCTGTGAAGTGTCTGCTCATTTCCTTAGTCCATTTATTGATTGGGTTATGGGTATGATTGCACAAATGGTGTGAATCTACATCATGTACAACCAAAGATTTTTTCTTTTGAAAAAAATGTGCTCCATTTGTGTAAAAATAAAATAAAATAAGTTAACAAAAAAGTAATTCTCAGACCTGAAGAATTTCCTGAAACAATATCTCTTGTATTTTTAAGATGTATTAAATCTCTCTGGTTGTGACCATGTAAAAGTCACTTCTGAAAAAAAAAATCACCTCTGAACCAATTTAAACAAATAAAGTGAGCTATTAAAAGAAAGCTACATGAAATGATTATCAACTTCAGACTTAGACATCATTATACATTTATACATTAAATGAAATATAAATAAATTTTATTATAAAGAGATGAAAAGTATAATTCTTTAGTTCATAAGCGTGATGATTGGGTGTTCACGCTATTGCGTGAGATGTGCTTCCCTCTAAACTTTGTTATGACATCGATACATTACCTGACTGACATGAACTTAAAAATAAAAACAAAGAGATGAAAATGAAGTAAAAATAGGTATGAATGTTTTAAAGAAAATAAGAAAGATTTTAACTAATATTAAAAATAATCAGAACTTGTATTAAGAGAAAATACATGCAAAATTATATTTTTCTTTTAATTTATTCTGTTTAACTGACTATTTCAATATTATACCATATTAAATGAGAAAATCATAGTCTCAGAGTTTAAAAACATATATTAGTTGCTATGTCTTTTGTTGTTTTGAATGGGGTTTCAGGGATATTTTGATTTTTTTTTTTGCGTATTTATGATGTTCTCTGTATATATTTATTTGGAAGCTTCAGGTTTTTGGACAATTGTAGAAGCAAATAGAACAGTTTTGGATAAATTATGTAAAATTTAAAAAAGAATAGGACACAGACCAAAAATATTTTTATAAGTGTGCATAAATATTTATTAGATAGAACTCATGCATTTTCTTTCCAGGTTCACAGGAGCCACTTTCCAATCTTTTAGAATCCTGCTGCTTTCCTCAAAAGCCTAACTACATGAGTTATAAAATACTTGATACTCCTTGGAACATATATGATGAGGTAAACCTGAATATCCTACCAAATTTTAAGGGCATGCACTGCCCTTCTGTGAGATGACTGTGCTATGTCTTTATTGTCAGGAAAGAGTCTTATGTGCAAGGTCTTTTGATCCCCAATCAACCACATAAGAATGTATCTTAAGCCCAGGACACTTCCATAATCAAGATGATAAAACTTCACATTGCATATACTAGAATTATTTCATCCTGTGAAGATGTTTTCTCCTGTTTCAAACTTAGTGTTACTCTCTTCTCTTTAAGCCTCAGCATCAATGACCCTCAGTCACCCCAGCTTTCAGAATTGACATGGAGAGGGCTAAGGGTTGAGGTCTTTCCTTTGCCCCTCAGAGAGGGCTACCTATAGGAAAATTGCCCTGTATTACATGCCAGGAGAAACTAGGTATCCATTAAGACCAGGGCACACCATTGAACCTGATCGTGCTTTCAGATCTCCAAGGTAAGAATTGTTCAATTCAGTGCTTGATTGTGTTGTGTTTTTCTTTATGAATCCGGTACCCAGAAATTCAATGGACAGACAAGTTTAAGTTAGTCCCCTGGGATTAGTAACCAATGAAATGTTTTTCTCCCTTAATATCGATACCTGATGCACTGAGTTCTGCTAGACAATAAGTGGTTATACAATAAAACTTTAAAATGATTACTTATCTACTCTTCTTTAAAAGATCCTTACCATAAATATACTAAAACTAAGAGTGTAGACTCCTATCATAGCAGAGCAAAAACAAAACAACACAACACAATACAAAACAAATAATCAAAGAGAAATGAAGCTTCCTGGATTCAATTATATTTAATTTACTCTTATGGCTCTATGATTATGGTGAATGGATCAATTTTTCCTGTTTAAGCTGATGATAAAGCTCTTTGCAGAACCTATACAAAGAAAAACACATATTTTAAAACCACTTTTCTGGAGTATATATTTTCTTTACTGTCAACTTTATCACCTCAGGAATAATACATTTGATACTATATTTTGGTAAAATCTACTCTCATGTAAATGTGGAAAATTTACAAAATATATTGAGGGATGAAATAATGTCTGAATGGAGGGCTGAAGTACAGAATGCAGAAAAAAATTTTATAGTAAATGGCAACCTTAATGAAAAAAATAAAGCTTCTAACACTTGGAACCTTTAAAGTTAGCATAATAGGAGTCAACATTGTTTAGTGCCTAATGTATTTCAAGACAGAAGAAAGAAAATTCTGTTAGGTTTCTTCTAAAAGAAATATTAAGTTCATGGGAGGAGTTGTGTTTATAACTTGACTGTCATTTTGGCACAATGGATGTCCTTTTATTTATTTTTTTCTCCACTTGTATACAAGCCTGTATACAAATGTCTGAATAAAACCCACAAAAAGCAATAATAAACCAGGAAAAGCAAGAAGAAGTAGGAGAAATTACCTTCTAGTTTATTTATTTATTTTTAATTTTCTTCGTTGATATGAGAATAATCACTTGGTCACCTGGAATAATCAGATAGTTAGCAGGGAATCCCTTCTTGACAAGTCAGTGAAGATTCAATCCTGACTTGCCCTATGTTGTCTGGGGCTGTCTGACTGAGTAGGAGACACTGACATCTCCACTCTGACCCATCTGAATCCAGTCAATGTCATGATGCCAAGTCTCATAACTCAACTCAGCTTGTAAGAATTCCCTTATAAAAATTAAAAGTTGCCATTTTGCAAGTCAAAAATTCAAATATCAGCAATTTTAAAACTAGATCATTAATATCTTTCCTTTTCATGAAATAACAGTAATTGACATTTTTTTAAGTATCATTTTTTCCAGTGGCTTTGTTATAGTTTTAAATGCATATAAAGGCCTATGGACCTAGAATTATTCTTCATATAGTAAGAAAAAATATTATTGTGTAAGTGGTTCTATAAATAATTGTTAATCAATAATTACATCTACAAATAAAAAATTCCTTTAGTTTACTAAAATTTTAGAGTGCTCACTGGGGAGTTTATGTAAGAATAATTTTCTTAGACATTTATTTATTATTTGAAATACAGATACTCATATGCAGCCAATGTTAAGTATAGTTTTCTTAGTGATATTATTGAATATTGTTGGTTAGAACTTTATATCAAAAAATACTGCTAGATTAAATTTAAATACAAATCATAGAGCAGATGTAAACTATCATCTGAAGAAACAGTGGATTGATATTGGGAAATCTCACCATTTTGTGGCATATCAAAAAAAATATACTTCCTAAAATGATTTTAAAATTACAGAATAATTCTGTATTTTGGGACTCTAAAGCAGGCAGATCCACACCTGAAGTAAAAGTATATCCTTCAGTATTCATAATAATGTTAGGAGGAATAACAAATAAGAATTTATTACTATCCTTTGAAAGTGTTTTCTGTTAATATCTAAGGCATATATTTTTTTCTTTTTTAAATTATTTTATTTTATTTGTTTATTCTAAATAGGTATATATATGACAGCAGAATGCAGTTGATTCATTGTACACAATTACAACACAACTTTTAATTTCTCTGGTTGTACAAAATGTAGCATCGCACCATATGTGCAGGCATATAAATACCTAAGGTGATGATGTCTATCTCATTCCACCATCTTTCCTGTCCCCATGCCCCCTCTCCATGCCTCCATCCTGTTTTCCCAAAGTTCCCCTATTTTCCCATGGACTCCCCACATTATGGATCAGCATCTACTTCTCAGAAAAAACATTTGACATTTGGTTTTGGGGATTGGCTTACTTCACTTAGCATGATATTCTCCAAATTCATCCATTTACCTGCAAATGCCATAATTTTATTCTTTTAATGCTGAGTAATATTAAATTGTATGTATATATCTGTTTCTTTATCCATTCATTCTTTTTTAACAAATATGCAGATGTCATTTATATGGTCCATAAGTACAATATAATCATTATTTGAGCTTTACAAAACATCAAATATAAATAACCTGAAATTGTAATTTTACACAAAAATTCTTTTCTTACACAGATATACCAGGCAGTACAAACTGAAAATTTGAGTAAATTAACACTGTTTTACATTAATATACATAGTGCCAATTAACATTTAAAAACAAATTTCAATGCATAGCACTTGATATTTCCTGGAATCTGTTTCAGTTAAGAATATTAAAATGTTCAGATCTAGGCTAAAACTAATTCTTCTTCTAGCCAAAAATAAAGGCATAATATTTATAACCAGGTATCAACTTTACTAAACCACAATATTTTTGAACTATTAAATGATACCTAAGGGTATTTACATTAAAAAGGCAACATGCATTGTGATGTTTCATCTCATGACTGGTTATGCACACACTTTATTCAAAGGATTTTAAAACTATACTCCTACTTTCAGTATAGCATAAGCCAGTGTTCTAATAGTTCTAGCAAAATGAATACTTTCAAAGGGAGCAGAATCCTTTTCAAGTCCCGTTATCATTATTTTCCCTTTGGAACAAAGGACATAACAAATCTGGTTCTACTCAGATGAACTAAGGTAGTAAGAGGGTTTCTGTTCAATCTAATGCTATGACATCATCAAGCTCTTCCATCTGCTCTGTATGTGACTTCTTTGCAGTGACATTCTCCTTCTAATTTCCTCTTGTGACTTCTTCTTGTTTCTTCACTGACATCAGCATTATTTGAAGGACCTTCTTCATCTGAATCAACTATGAGTACATCATATTGCTCTTTTGCAGTAGAGGTGGAAGGCTGCCATTGGCAATGCTTTTGGCAGCATCTTTAGTTTGTTTGGGCTCCACTTTTTCTGGGCCATCACCAACAACTTCAAATTCAACATCCTTTTCTAGGTCTTCACTATGAAGGATGATGATCAATAAAGTGTAGTCCTGAAGGAAATCATCTGCTTGAAGCTGGCTGCCATTTCTAATTCCAAATTCTGACAACTTCTTATGATTATTTGCTGAGAGCCATAGCTAAGTAAGAATGACGCATGGCAATTTCCTTGTCAGCCTACCCCATGTTGCTTAGAGGGAGGACTCTCCATTGTGGAAATGGGCTTGCCTTGGACCCAGGTCATTTGCAGTGATATTGCATGAAAGGTGACCTTGCTCAAGGTCCAGGGTGGATGGGGTTTAGGGCAATCAGGTTTAGGGCAGTTCCAGGTTTAAAGTGTATCCTGCTGGGAATAGGGCGTATCCTGCTGCCTCAGGCGCCTGACCACTCCTTGAGTTCCCATTGAGTTCTTAGGGATTCAGAGAGTATTTTGGGATGCAGAGCCCAGTGGAAGGGTGGATTTTCCCCAGAACGTGCATATAGAGGGCCGGTGAGAGTTCGGGAATAAAGAGTTGCTGTTTTAATCTACAAGATGTGTGGTGACTCATGATTTTGTGCCCAGCCAGACTGCGGCAATTATTAGCTTCTGTCTCTCCCT